CTATCACTACATAAAGGACTTTTACATTTGTTAACATATATGCAGGGGTGGATCCAGGGAGGAGGGGGTTGCTGATTCACTTGCACCTCCTCATCCTTTGGTTCCTGCTCCACCCAATGTTTAAAACCAACTGCCTGGCAGTGGCAGCAGCTTTTCTAGTCAGGCCATGCTGAGGAAGTCACTTGACTTCGTGGCTCATTAAAATCTACCTGATCCCTTCTAAACTCTTCATTGTATGGGTGTTAAAGACCCTCTCTTCTTTTTAATGATCGTAATGTTCCACCAATCAAGCTATATTTTGTTCTGCAACTCTGCCATCTGTTAGTTGTTCCTGGTAATGAAGCTCCTATTTCAAAACCCTGCAGATTATTTTTAACTCATTCCAATGAAATTATATTTGTTTTTGCTTCAACCGTAAACTGCATTATATATTCCTAGGCCCCTAGCATATTAGTAAAGCTTCTAGTTTATTTTTAACCTGAGAAAAATGTGTGTTGTGTTTATATGTGGTGATGCACCTCACCATGTGCACCCTCCTTTTCAAAATCCCACAATGAAGTAAGCTAAAGAAAGAGGTAGGTTATGATACCAGAGTCTGAGAGTTCTAAAGCATGAGAATGTGTGGTGTATATGAAAATGTTCATTATAATATGCTTGATTTACCATTGCATTACTCATGTTTATATGAAGAAAATTCCCCTGAAATCAATGGCCAGGTGCAGTGATATGTTCTGACTGCCTTATGGGCTCAGACACGCAGTGCTTCCAGAGTATACAGATGAATCTTGCTCAGTGAAAATGCAACAGCGCAAAATCGGAGGTGTGTTGTGGTGAATCAGACCTAACTTGTTTGGCCTGCTTATACAAAGATTTATCTACATTAAATGCATGGAAAGAATAAATGCTGTAAATCATAGTGTATGTTATTAATTCATGTTACCATGTATAGCATGAGAAATCCTAGTTCAATTTAAAAAATTTTTACCGCACTGTATTTCTCTCTCTTTCTGCCTTGCACAAGTTACACTTAAGTTGTGATTGTTATCTGGCCACAAGTTAATGCAATTAATGGCATGATAAAACAAGAAATAAGCCACAAGGTTATTACACAAAAAGATGTAATAATTTTAGTGGCCAGGCTGGGGCTCCCAGCTGCATGGGTGCAGCTGGAAAACCTGTCAGCTGATGCTGGCTCCCAGCTCCAAGGATACACCATGCAACTGAGAGCCTGGATCAGGTGATGGGGCTCCCAGCTACAGGAGCACACGGTAAGCCCCCATGGCTGGGATCCTGCATCAAGTGATGGCTCCCAGCTGCAGAAGCTTGCTATTTGCCACTGCAGAGGAAGCCCAGGATCAAGATCCCAGGCTACTCCAGCACTGGCAATATGATATGAAGGGATGTGATGTCCAATCCCACAGTTATGCCTCCTGCTGTACATGTGTGGCATAGCAGGAAGTGGAATTGTGTGGATCGTGCATCATCATTCCATGATGCCTTAACTTGCATATCTGCCATGGGGCCTTATATTTGTTGTCTGAATTGGAGCATACAATTAAAAGATGCATCATTTCAAAGGATAAGTACACACAACTAGTAAAAATACATCCCATATTGATCTCATAGCACAGAAGCACAGAGATCTCCTTTTCTTGCGAATATTTTATACCTAATTGAAGAAGTAAACCTGATCCCTCAGAGCTTTGTCTGACACATTGTCAATAGTTTATGCTTGTGTGCTCAAGCTGAGGACATGGCCCTTTATATTTGCTTCTACTTGCTGTTGCTAAAGCAATATATCTCTGGCTGACCATATTCCATTAACACTTCTCTTTTTAGTTTAATAATTCCATTCAGCCACTAGGTGGTGCTTTGACTCTTTATTGAAAAATGAAAACATGAAGTTGTCTCTCAGGGCTTGTATACATTGGGACACTTAGAAAATTCAAGGCAAATCAGTGAAAGATGTGAGGTTAATGCATATAAGCTAAAAGCATTTGAATCCCAATATAGATGCTCTTATTTGGGAGTAAAATGCCTTAGAAAACTGTTCCTTGGGTGAATTTGATATCTTTTATTAGACCAACGCAAATGGTTGCAGAATAGTTATTAAGCAAGCTTTCAGGTTCAAAAACCCTTCGTCAGGCTAAGGAAGCTGCAGCAGTTGGTGTGTGCTCTTCCTGGATGGAATGAAAACTGTAGTTCAAGCTTAAAACCCCCAAACCAATTTTCTTTTCAGTCTTCCAAGAAAAATAATATTTTAGGAAAGTAGACTCCACGTAACTTTTTATCTAGATGAAAAATCAATTTGCTGCCAAAAGGTTTGATGGAAAATTGTTGAGCCATAATAAAAAAGTCAGTAAACTACAGTCTACAGATAGAGAGCACGCAACATTTCCAACATCCTCTGCATACAAAAAAGCAAAAACTGCATCTGATCAATGAAAAAAAAATTAACCAGATATCCAGGTATACTTCTCTATCTCTTGTCAGAATTTCTCTGTTGTTTGCCATGGTTTCCTTTTTTTCATGATGACACCCAAAAATACAAATGAGGTGTGAAACAATTTATTTCTTGCACATCTGTTGAGCAGATCCATAGATTACCATCTGAACTGCAAAAGAACCTGCTGATCCAGATTTTGAAGTTCTTCTTGAAAGTTCTAATAAAAAAAATCTACACAAAACAATAAAGCATGCCAAACATCCCATTTTACATCAGAATATCAAACACAGCTTTCTGCATCACCCTGGTATAGCAAAATCATCCATCATTTCATTAACTTTGAATATGGTACAGTTTTCCCTAAAAACAGTTCAATGGATTTAGTTTTAAAATATTTTTTAAATGTGGGATAGAATGTAATCAAGCACACAGCAATGATATTGTCATCACCTTTTAAACATTACAGAGCTAATAAAGTCATATCAATGAAAAGAAATGTTATTTCTGATTTCAGTACCACACATCAAAAATACAAAAAGCAGACGCATCTAAAGTATTTCTTTATAATCATCATCATTATTGCTACTATTGTTTATAATGGCAACAAATGCTGAGGCATTTAATAGTGGCATGAATCTTTAAAAGGCAAGAAGATTACATAATGTTTAACCTAAGAAGCTGAAAAACTACTGATCCTACTATCAGATCTCAGGTCATGAAGAACCACCTCAATGGTAGGCTCCATTGATGTGGATTCACTTCAGGATTGGGACAAAATATGAAACATGATAAAAGACAACAGCCAGAAAGGTTAGAGTGGGAAGAGTAAGTAACATCAGTAAAACACCATGATTGTTACACAAAGTGATGAAATAAGGAAAAGGATTTTAGATTATTCTTATATTTCAGAATGTTATGTATATTATAAAAAGATCTATACATAGCTGTGGAATTGTTATATACTTTTACTTTTTTTCTTGCATTGAACAACAAGTCATATGTCTGAAAGAACAGATATACTGAATAAAAATATACAACAGATGGTGAAATGAAAAGTAAAAGTATGGTTCAAATTGGAAATTTGAATTCGATTAAGTTACCATTACATTCTGGGCCCACGTGTGTACAAATGTCACTCCTGAAGCCCATCTTACATTGGGCTGAACTAGAACCTCTCACATTTTGAGAATATTCCAGTTTGGATCAGGATGCTCACTACATGGCTTAAGCTTATCACTGGGGATCCGGGTTTTCTGTTTCTACACAGAAAAACGGAGAAAACCAGGGATTTCCCAGTTTTATCAGAGAAAACACAGATTTCTCCTTTTAGCAGGGAAACCTGCAGATTTCGTCCTTTTGCAAAGAGCTCGGCAGGCTGGCTGAGTTCCAGCCTGCAAGAGCTGATTGCAAAAAGGACGGGAAAGCCCCA